CTAAATGTTTTGGGCTAACCAAAACAACAGAAAACATGGTATATATACATACGAGGTTGGCAGGAATATATGTTTTCTTGATGGAGTGATGAAGAAATGGATAGGGGGGATGAAGAACAGATGTATGTGAATGGCGGATGAAGAAAATGGGGTCCTAATCCAATGGATCTCTCTCTCTAGAGAGAGGGAGAGAGAGAGAGAGAGAGAGAGAGAGAGAGAGAGAGAGAGAGAGAGAGAGAGAGATGGAGAGAAAGAAGCAAGGATGGGTACGTGTGGGGTTGGATTTAGGCTTTGCATCAAGGACACATAAAAAGAGAGAAAAAAGGGGTGTTTAATCAATCATGGATATGGCGTATGGTAGCTTAATTAGGGCCGGGGGGAGATATGGTATAGCTAGCTGCTGATCTGAGGCTGTATGTATATATGTGTGTGATTTCCGAAGCAAAGCTCGCTTTTGCTTTCAAAGCTCTAATGGCGATGGATGGGGTACGTACTTTTAGAAGCAAAACTCTGAATCTGCTTTGTCTGCAAGTGCTTGGCAGACATGGATTCTCTTATTCTCTCTCTCTCTCTAAAACTACAGATGAGGGAAGGCTGAGGAAGAAGCGTTACGAGGTGGGGTTATATAGCACACACAAGCTCAGCTCGATTTATGACGTGAACGGAAATCACACTCACATGCAACATGTTTATCCCTTTACAAAAGTAATTCTCTCCTTTTTTGGTATATTACCTTTTCTTCCCTTTTTAGGGTCGATTTATTATCTGATTACATTTGGAGAGTTTTTTTTTTTTTTTTTTTAATATTTATTATTTTATTCGTAACGTTTCGAGTGTTAGGTGGACAATCGTTATCTACATACGTATATACAACAATTAATTAAAAGTGTCAATGAACGAGTGAAACTTGAACCGATCTAGCTCAGCTCGGTCCATCACTGACCCAGTAACTCTTCCGATCTAGCTGGCTTAACTTACTTAAATTTTGAGTTAATTAATTTTGTCGACTTGAGTAATAAAAATAAGGTTCAACCACATCCATAACCTTTAAAAAAAAAAGAAAAAATATTATAAAAATATTTTTAATGTATAAATTAGTATTTATGTATGGTAGTTACATATTTTTATTATAATTTACAACTTAAAAGCATTATTTTAAAACATTATAATTTACAAATACAATTAAAAAATAATAATCAATCTTTTATTATTGTTGTTGTTGTGGTGGTTGTTGTTCAGGGGGAACGAGGTCCTAGTGCAATGTTAATTACACCAGTGGAGATTCGGAAGTTAAGGTTTAATTTGTGGGGATAGATAGATAGAGAAGAAAGTTAGGGGGCGAACTAGATTAATTAGTGAGTAGAGTTAAGAGGGCTAATTAAGGTGCAAATACCAGAATCTCCACTGGTGTAATTAACAAGGCGGGAAGTTTGGGGGTTATCTGCAATATTGAAGAGATATATAGGTATGAAGTGAGACATATGTTAAAGTCTACGCGCTTATTATGACGTGAATCGAAATCATACTCACATGCAACATGTTTATCCCTTTACAAAAGTAATTCTCGATTTTTTTTTCTTGGGGTATATTACTTGGTTTCCTTTTTTTAGGGTATACTTATTATTTGATTACGTTTGGAGAGTTTTTTTTTTTTTTTTTTTTTCTCTTGATATTTATTACTTTATTCGTGACATTTCGAGTGATATGTGGACAATCGTTACCTACACACGTGTATATATAGAATTTGACTAGAAGAATATCAAATGATCGAGTGAAACTTGGGCCTCTCTTTCCCGATCCACTGTTGGCCCAGTAATTCTTTGGATCCAGGTGGCTTATCCCACTTAAATTTTGAGTCGATTTAGGTAAATTCGAGTAATAAAAATAAGGTCCAACCACATCCATAACCTAAAAATTAAAAAAAAAATAGAAAAATATTTTTAATGTATATATTATTTAATTACATGTTTTTTTAGTAATACTGAGACTATATATTATAATGGAGTATCTGTCCGTATGTACTTTCTCAACTTATTGAAGCACGACATCCCATTTAGAAGAGCTACAAAGTTGTCATTGAGCTACAATCTAATTGACTTATAATTTACAACTTAAAAAGTTGAAAGTATTATTTTTGAACATTACAATTTACAAATACAATTGGAAAAATGTTGTTGTTGTTGTTCAAAGGAGAATGGGGTTGGTCTTAGTCCGTGGCGACTCGGAAGTTAATTGGGTTTAGAGAATAATCAAAACCATGGGCAAGATTTGTCGGGATAGATAGGTAGAGAAGAAGGTTAGGGGGACGAATTGAGCTAATTAATGAGTAGAGTTAAGAGGGCTAAGCTAAGGTGCAAATACCAAAAGGATTGGATGAGGTCCGAAGTTGGACAAGGCGAGAAGTTTAGGGGTTATGATGCAATATTGAAGAGATAATTAGATATGAGGTCTAAGTCCAATGTTAATTACGCAGTGGAGATCTGGGAGTTAATTGGGTTAAGGGATATTAGACAAATCTATTGATGAAAGATACATTGTAGGTTTGTATCACGCACGCATTGCGCACGTGAAAAGATTGATTGTAGAAACTAATTAGATAATCCATGATAAAATAACATATTGAGAATATAGATATATTTTTAACGATCATCGAAAAACCATGTATTTTAGTTGTCATTCCAAAACAAGTGAATTGTAACAATTTGTCGCAATTTAGCTGGTTGAGAGTGCACAATCACTCACGCTAACCAAACTAGTTAAAAAAATATTAACTTTAATGCTTAATATTACAATCTTTCTATTTTCAACACCAAACTGTCTCCGCCCAAACTCCCATTATTCGTAGCAAACATTGAACTTCACCCTATCATTAGAAGCAAATCTTAAATCTCACTTTTCATCCGCTAGATCAATGTCATAGAGACAACTAACATTACAATCTTTGTTATAACTTATAAATAATAGTAAAAAGTGTTAAATAGACTATTAAACTTATAAATTTTGTTCAATTAGATCGTAGAATTTAAAACGTGTAAAATTGAAGCATTAAATAAGCAAAATGTGTGTAATTGAACCATTAAACAAGTAAAATGCGTGTAATTGAACCATTAAACAAACAAAATGTTAGTGTTTAAATATTGTAAACCCCAACATGTAATTGGCAAATTATTATAGCAAATTAGATTGGTTAGTTTAGTGTCTAGTTATAGTACTGAGTGATGATCTAACATAACAGACATTACACCATAGTCTTTGGAAACTTGCCGTTGGACTACACCAATTTATCCGGAAACAACTGGTAGAATAGTTATGTTGATTGAGGTTATTTTACAAGAAAGACCTTAATTATATATTTGACATACCTCAAAGGGTGAGACAACAATTCTCCTACTTGGAATATATTGGGAATTACTTGTCCTTCAAGAATCATAGTACTATATATTAGAGAGAGGACTCAAATAAGTGAAAACAAGAGTACACAAAGCAATATTTGAATCACAAGAGACTCTCTCTATGCCCTAAATAGATTACTCTGATATATCATTTTCTAAAGTCAGTATGATGATCTGAGTTTAAAAAGATACTTGAGAAGAAAGTTCTACAAAGCTGAATCTTTGGACTGTATTCCATGCAACTGTGGCATAGTGGTGAGTGAGTTAGCGAGACGGGCAACGACAACGCGGATCTCCAAGAAGAGATTTCTTGGACTGCTAATTGCATAAATCTCCGGCCTTGACAATCATCTATAGCGTCTACAGATAGGGTCTTTATATCACATTGAGTGAGAATGCGTTCACTTACCATTTGTTTGACTTGCTAATGATATAGTGAATTTGACACACTGATGGTGGCCCAGATGTACTGGTGTATCAAACTAGGCAAACAATTCTTGTGTTCTTTACCTTTTATTTGATTTACCTACCACACTTAGTCATATCGCTATTACAATAATTATTCGAATAATCGAATTTAAGGTTTGCGATAAGACAATTTATCTAATAAATAAGTCAAAAAATTGACAAATAAAATAGAATATCACATATACACGAAATCACAATAAATACCCAAAATGGTCCCTCGACTATAGCTAAATTCACAAATTGGTCCTCGACTTTCAATTTCAACCAATTAAGTCCTTAACTTTGCAATTTTGACACGATTTGGTCCTCCATCTATTTGACCGTTTATTGACCGCGATCTTTGAGGATATATATATGTAGTTTCACGTGCAAAGCTCAAGAGAACGCTCTTGGAGGTGACATCGTTGTTTCGGAGGGGGAAGTGCTTCTCCGCTTGCTGCTTGGGGATCACGAGCCGGTTCAGCTTAGAGAACGCTCTTGGAGGTGACAGCGCCTTTTAAGAGTGGGGAAGTGCTTCTCCGCTTGCTGCTTGGGGATCCCAAGCCGGTTCAGCTTGCCTACATCGCTTGGAGTCACGGCTTTCTCGAAGAGCCACTCAAGGGACTTCGACGATCTATCTATCAAAAGCTATAATCTCTCTAGCATGGGGTGCAGCGCCGGCTATGGATTCAAATGTAACAACGCGGTCTAGAAATTCAACCGGAACCTTAAAAAATCGACGATGGACCATGAAATTACATATATATCCTAAAAAAGTGCAGTCAACAAACAGTCAAATAGACAGATGACCAAATTGTGTTAAAATTGCAAAATTAAGAACTTAATTGGTTGAAATTAAAAGTCGAGGACCAATTTATGAATTTAGCTATAGTCGAGGGACCATTTTGGATATTTACTCATTTTAATTCATAGTTATCAAATCTTTAAAAATTGATATAATTATTGATAATTTGAAACGTTCTAAATACTCCGTACTTGTAATAGGATTATGATTCATGAAATGTTTTTAATTTTTATTTTAAAAAGGGCAGTGCAGGTAGGTGGCAACGACCGCGTACACAATAGAGCCCAAGCATAAAATACCCGTTTTACCCCTCACAACAACCCACTTACCTACCGTTGAACAGGAGTCCTCTAAGCTCTAACCCAACCAACCCATCGCTTACATATAAAAGCAGACGCTGTCTCTGGTAGGCGAAGAAGTAAGGTAGAAGAAGGCAAAAACGACGACGTAGAAATGGCGTCGTCTCTCTCAACCACCAAGCAATTCCTCGGAGCTCCGTCATCTTCACGTCTCGGATCGTTCCAGGCACCATCCAATCTATCATCTTCCAGCCTCCAACTCCCTGCTCGACGATCGCACTCCAAACGCCTCGGTTAGCTCCCTCCCCGCGCATTTCTCATCCGTTTCTTACTGTTTCTATTCAATTCGTCAGAAAATCTGTTCAAAGTGAAATTTATAGCTTAAAATTAGCATACTGTGTTCATTTGCATGCTGAAACTTGGATGATTCTATTTTGAACAGTAGAAGGATATAGGAAAGCTAATTATGCATCCACTTATTTGTGCAATTTGCAGAGATAAAGGCTGCTGGTAGTACATTTGGAAATTATTTCCGCGTTACAACATTCGGAGAATCTCATGGTGGAGGTGTTGGCTGCATCATTGATGGATGTCCTCCTCGGCTTCCCCTTTCGGAATCTGATATGCAGGTGGAGCTTGATAGGAGGTGCTGGCTATTTTTCATCCTATGTGCTCATTTATCCTCTCTGAAGTGATATACTTTAGCAGTAGCACTGCTTATGCTTTAAGTGTTATAGTTGCTTATTCTCTCATATGACAAACTTTGCACGCAGGAGGCCAGGTCAAAGTCGAATCACAACGCCTAGAAAAGAGACTGACACCTGCAAGATAGCATCTGGTGTTGCTGAAGGTTAGATAACTAACAACAATGCTGTTACATTTTTTGCCCCTTTCATTCTTAATGCACATATTTGCAGTACTAATGGCTTATGTTTTTACTGTAGGGTTAACAACTGGTTCTCCAATTAAAGTTGAAGTACCAAACACTGATCAGAGAGGAAATGTAAGGATTTATACTACTGCCTTTTAGACTCAATCACTCAAAAGAGGGAATAAAACTAGAAGTTTTTAGTGATTGTTTCATTCTGGTATTTTAATAGTTTTCTGATTTCTGAAATAATGTAAGGCTAGAGTATCATTTGTCTAGACTACAATGATTCTATATTTTGATTGAATTATATTCTAGGATAGTATCTATGTGCATTTCTCATGGCTTAATGAAGTAATATATTTTATAATTTTTACGTGCTTGTTATTTGAAAGGTTGAAACTCTGCCTTTATGCTTTATATTTCAAAAGGAAGGTTTTTTCTATGCTTACCTGTAATGGTCCAGTGTTCTATATGAAGTGTGTGAAAAGACATGTCTGGCATTACGAATTGTGCTAAAGTCACTAATTTTGGTTGAAAAACCAGAGTGCATTCAGTCCCCAATGAAATAGTCATCTATGAGTTGACTTCTCCCTAGAAGTATAAAGTTCTTGTGTTTTGAACATTTCCCATGGGGTGTCATACTGTCATGTGAATTTCTTACTTCACATTACCTAGTAACTTTGGGTTTTCATTATCTTGTATTCTCAGGACTACAGCGAAATGTCACTTGCATACAGGCCTTCACATGCAGATGCAACTTATGACTTCAAGTATGGAGTAAGATCAGTACAGGTAATGTTATACAAAAGTGAATATGTATTAAACCTTTGGAGCTTAACAATATCTTTATGCATTTAATCAATAAATGCTGAAACTGTTTCTTGGCTGTTTTATGCATGATGACTGTCTAGGGTGGTGGCAGATCTTCAGCAAGAGAAACCATTGGAAGAGTTGCTGCTGGAGCAGTTGCAAAGAAGATTCTCAAACAGTACTGTGGAACTGAGGTGGGTTACTTTCGTCTTCAAGGTTCCTGGAATACCTTCAGGCTTCGACTATAAGCATATGTTCTTATTATTACCTTGGTTTGATATATAGATGTAGACTCCCTTCTGTGTTGGTGAAATTTAATCTTATAAGCATGTGAATTAAGAGCTCATATCTATGTTTCCACAGATAAAAATGACCTTTGAGATTATAGAGGATCAGCACTCAAAAGTTAATAGATCTATTTTTCAATGCTGTAGGGATATATTCCTTAATCTTTATAAGGCTCTGTAAACTATAAGTCTTTAAATCTGTTAGTTTATTGATACTACATGGCAATTTTATTCGTTCTACTTGTTACATAAGGCTAGGAATCTCTTATCAGGGTTCTGAGTATGGGTTGTATCATATTATTTCATAGTCACTGTTATTACATTGTGGAAACTTTAATTTGCATATGGTTTATCTAGTAACTTATTAGATGTTAACTTTTTTTTTTTTTCCAGATTATTGCTTATGTTTCTCAAGTCCATAAGGTCGTACTTCCTGAGGACTTGGTTGATCCCCAGACTGTGACAGTAGATCAGGTAAACTAGCAGTTACTTTTATGTCCATTGGTATGTTACCAAACATGGTAAAGTGCTGGTGAACTGTTTTTTGAATTTGTCTCTAGGGTGATAAATTACATTATGATAATTATAATTGCGACTTAATATATAATTTATCTGATTTTTTCCTTACCCTCTGTTACCAGATTGAAAACAATATTTGCCGATGCCCAGATCCTGAATACGCAGAAAAGATGATAGCTGCCATTGATGCTGTTCGTGTAAAGGGAGATTCTGTTGGTGGTGTAGTTACTTGCATCGTCAGGAATGCTCCACGGGTAAGCTCTCTTCAGTCTTGTATGTTTTATAGATGGCTTGGTTGCATATGCATACATGCATTTGGAATATTGGATAAAAAGATCTGAGCTGCTTGGAAGATAACAAAATGAAACTGTGCCTATGTATATTTATTTTATCCTAACTTCAAATGAGTTTGTTTACTTTTACCAGGGTCTTGGATATCCCGTATTTGATAAACTTGAAGCTGAGCTTGCTAAAGCTTGCATGTCGTTACCTGCAACAAAAGGATTTGAGTTTGGCAGTGGGTTTGCAGGTAGATATATAGACGGACATTCTTTTTCTTTTGCATTGGAGAGCCCTGTGTACTATTTGGGCTTGCAGTTACCATGGGTCCATGCGCCCCTGGTATCTGGTGGCCAGTTAGCCACACTGGGCTCCTAGTATTTTGGATTGAGCTGCTATCACTACCCTGTTAGGGGGTGAGCTCTCCAATGCCCTCTATTCACAGGGCTCAGGCTCAAGACCATGCTTAGGGACTAGGGAGAACCAAACTCCTTTCACTTGGACCACATGTTATTGGTAGTTTGCACATTCTCTTATCTTGGAAGAACTTGCTAACTAAGTATTTGCACCCTTATAGTTTGATATGTTATTTTTGTAGCTTATGATGCTTTTTAAAGCTAGTCATTTTGCCTCCTTCAAAAATGTGGTATTGATATGAATGTGAAGCTTTTAGGTGTTATGTCTCTAAATGGAAATCTTATATGCCAGTTGAACTAGCAAACCTGCTCACCAAATAAAAACAAAGAAAAATATACCTTCTTGTATGGTAGTTTTAATGTCCTCCTGTCACAGGCACATTCATGACTGGTAGTGAACACAATGATGAATTTTATATGGATGAACATGGTAAAATCAGGACAAGAACCAACCGATCTGGTGGGATACAGGTATTATTTCTTAAGATCTAATACTTTGGGCATGTACATTTATATGAAAAAAAAAAGGATATTTGTTTTCTTATTGAAAGATTTGTGTTTTTGGATTGTTTAGGGTGGAATATCAAATGGAGAAGTTATTAATATGAGAATAGCTTTCAAGCCTACATCTACAATCTCAGTAAGTTACCCTCTTGTTTTTTGTATTTATATTGCCACATGGTGCTAGTGGATACTGTTCAACACTTTCAATATTAATATTTGTTCTTGAATTAAGCAGGCATCCTTTTGAAATGATATAACGACTTGTTAAAGTTCTTGTGAATCAGACTATATTTATTTAGCTCCTTTGGAAATGGACTAATTTGTCAGTTTAGGGTCCGTTTGGAAAGCAGGAAAATGACTTCTGGAAAATGTTTTCTGGAAAATGAGTCATTTTCCGGAAAACATTTTCCTTTCCAGTGTTTGGTTGCATTATGGAAAACTGTTTTTCTGTGTTTGGTTCATTTTCTGGAAAATGAGTAGAATTGTATAATTAAACATTTTAATTATTTTATTTAGAATATTACAACATGTATAATAATATATAATAATATAATATTAATTTTAAATATAATAAAAAATAGCTAAGTTTTTCAAAAAAAAAAAAAAAACTAATAATATATGGTTGTAGTGGTATGGTGGTGGTGGTGGTGGTGGCGGCGACGGTGGTTGCGGTGGTATGGTGGCGGTGGTTGCGGTGGTATGGTGGTGATGGCGGCGGCGGTGGTATGGTGGTAGTGGTGGCGGCGACGGTGGTTGCAGTGGTATGGTGGTGGTGGTGGCGGCGGCAGTGGTGTGAAGGTGGTGGTGTGGTGGCGGTGGTATGTGGTGGTGGTGGTGGCGGTGGTATGGTGGTGGTGGTGGTAGTGGTTGCGGTGTTGGTGGTGGTTGTGGTGGTGGTGTGATGGTGGCGGGGGTATAGTGGTGGTGGCGGCGGCAATAGTGGTGGTGATGGTGGTATGGTGTTGATGATGTTGGTGTAAAAGTTGGAAAATGACTTCCCCCCAAAAAAAGGGGAAGTCATTTTCCTCCAAAACAAGCATATTTTCCAAAATCAACGGAAAATGATTTTCGTTGACTTGATTTTCCAGGCACATCCAAACACTGGAAACTTGGAAAATGATTTCCAGAACTCATTTTCCAGGTTTCCAAACACACCCTTAGTGGTGGAAGAACTAATTTTACAATACTTGGAAAATTTTGGATTCTATTTGGAAACTTGATGCTTGTTTATACTTGCTTACCTTTCTATACATATTGGCTTTCCAGTTCATTGAATGCATTGATTTGAATAGATGTTTGATGTTTGCACATTTATGTGTTATTTTGATTATACACAGAGGAAGCAGAATACAGTGACAAGAGACAAACACGAGACTGAGCTCATTGCTCGTGGTCGACATGATCCTTGTGTAGTGCCTCGAGGTTTGTTCCTGCACTAGTCTATAGAATTCTTCAGTATTGCATCATCAATATTTACTGCACTAACCAAATGATATCTCGGTGATGCTACAGCTGTTCCAATGGTGGAAGCCATGGTAGCCCTTGTGCTTGTTGATCAACTAATGGCACAATATGCTCAATGCATGCTTTTTCCAATAAACCCTGCATTACAGGAGCCCCTGCAATCAAACTCCGAGCCAGCAGCTGCTAATGTTGCCCTTTGAATGGTTGGTCGCAAAATGCTGTCTACTTCATTGCTATGTTTTAGCTTTGCTTCACCCAACGTGTGCAAGTTTTGTTTGAAGGCTATATCATACCACCATACCTATACTCTGAACACTCTATTATGTATTATTCGGCGATTACAATTGTATTGCTTTTGGATCTCTCTATTATATTGTAGGTTGTTGATTAAACACAGTGGCAGGGCTTGTAGGAAGAATAAGGCCTTTAATTGGCAATTTTAGGTTTTTTCTACCATTTTCACCGAGACCAATTGAATTTATACTTTCTTTCATGTTTTATTTGTTGTTATCCTTCATGTTTTTACGACCAAAGCCTCCCATCAAATGTGTTAAAGTGGCAAGAAAATCATAGTTTTATTATACTCTCTAAAAGATATGAAATAATTTGATCTTTCAGTCTCATCAATGTGTACAACCTTTTAGCATATTCAACATGGAACCTCAAGTTAGCATAATCCCCTTCAGCCAATTAACAACTAACCTCGGTTGAGTTGCTTCAATGACAATGGGACACTATCAATGACAATGAGACAAAACCCCTTGTTCAAACCAATTAAGTACCCTTAAGACAAATTCTAGTTTTAAACTTGTTAAAACTACACACTCCAATATTATATTATACGTGAAACCTTTCAACTAGTATCCAAGTATCCAACTATCCATTAATCTAGTCTAATTGCTTTATGTGTTCATTAATTATTTGTGAATAGATCGATCAACTTTACACTAAAAATAAAAAACATCAAACAGTCAAACATGTAAACAACTTGTGCAAGTAGAAGTAAACATTACCCTAATGAAAATGAGTTGGGTGAATTGAAATAAATGGACATGTCTAAAGGGTTATGATTTAGGGTTTGCTAAGGACGGCAAATTATGCTGTGCATCCGTATGCACCATGCATGATGCATACGGATGCAAAAACGACGTCGTTTTAATAAAACGCGCGTCTCCCTTTTAAAAAAAAAAATCAGGTTCGATTCCCAGCAACAACATATGAACTAAAATTCCATAATCGATGAACTATAATTCCATAATCTAATCTATGAACTAAAAATTCCAGAATGAATGAACTAAAATTCCATAATCTATAAACTAAATTTCAGAATCGATGAACTACAATTCCATAATCGATGAACTATAATTCCATAATCAATGAACTATAATTCCATAATCAATGAACTATAATTCCATAATCTATGAACTAAAATTCCAGAATGAATGAACAATATAATGTTGTTGCTGGGAATCGAACCTGAATTTTTTTTAAAGGGGAGACGCGCGTTTTTTAATAAAACGACGTCGTTTTGACATCCGTATGCACCATGCATGGTGCATACGGATGCACAACATAACGATTGGCTAAGGACTTATCCCACTCCAGTCACAAATGGGTTATCGGGAGTTGGGACTTGGGAGGCAATTTATTTCTGTGTAGCCACTGGGCTATATGAAAATGGGCTGCTCCATTTCTCCCTCTACGCATAAAACCATACACGACTAGTGTACAAACATTTAAGAGTTTATAGGTTCTGCAATTTACCTCATCCACTAGCAAAACATGCACGGTTGGAAGGGTGGGGTACGTGCACGGTATTCGGGCATGCAGTTGGTGGGTATCTCGAATGTGCTAAACGACGTGATGCACAGAATGTTTAACGGAAAAGCACAACACCTGGTGGGACAAGCATATGATAGAGGGCGCAACATTGTGGTCCGCACAAATGTCCACGACATACGACCCTAAGAATAGTATAAAAGGAGGGGTGTCCCGTCCAGATCATCAACACTCTTATTCTCTTGCTTCTCCCTCAGTCAACGACACATGCGTACGTCAATTGTCTTCTGCGAGGTAAATCCACTCCCTATGGTTGGGCTTGGTAGTTGGACCGGCCCCTTGGGCTAGATTTATTTCCTTTGTTTATTCAGTATACTCGTAGCACATTTACATTATTTTAAGTGTGTTGGGTTCTCGTTATCAATCAAATTTTATAGTGAGTCTAATCCATTAAAAACCATCACATGTATGTAAACAATTTGATGCAAGTAGAAGTAAACATTACCTTAATGAAAATGAGTTGAGCCAATTGCAGCAAATGGGCATGGCTAAAATGTTCTACTGATTTAGGGTTTAATTTGCTAAGGACTTCTCCCACTCCAGTACTCCACTCACAAATGGGTTATCAGGAGTTGGGAGGAGGCAATTTATTTTCTGTAGCTACTATACTGGGCTATATATATATATATATATATATATATATATATATATATATATATATATATGAAAATGGGATGCTCCATTTCTCCCTCTACGCATAAAACCGACTAATACACTAAGTATTTGAAGACTCATAACTAAGTTGAGACACGATTTATCTCCTTTACCAATCTTAAGGTAAGAACAATGAGAGATCTTTAAATATGAAATTCAAACTTATAAAACCATGCACGATTTGTTGGCACTCACATACTATTATATGTTATGTAAACAAAACTAAGTTCGTTCCCATTACAATTGTAATAAGCTACAAATAATTGCCGTTGCATGGTCGGATACAATTTATTTTTGACATACAACATATAGAATCTTGTAAAAATAATATGAATTTGATTTAAATCATACAAGTAGAGTTAAATTCTTATCCAAAAAAAACTTAATTTTAACATGATACATCTTACAACTCTCCTCTCTCTCTCTCTCTCTCTCTCTCTCTCTCTCTCTCTCTATATATATATATATATATTCAAAAGTTATCTCGAAAAGATAAAACGAACTACAAATTAAACCATATAAAGTAGTATTATTTAACCTCTCCCAATAACGAACTACAAATTAAACCATATAAAGTAGTATTGTTTAACCACCCCCAATAAAGCCAACAAATAGCATGCCTATATTCTTTTAGGAGTTCAGTCAAAGAAGAGAATTCCAAACTCAGCGGCAAGACATCATTCAATCTAAAATCTAAATTAATTTTATTATTAATAATTACATGTTAGGCAGTCAATGGATACATTCTTTCTCATCCAATGCAAAGCAAGCTTTAATTCTGCCTATTAATAAGAAAAATGCATTTTGTATTGGAACTTTCTTACTGGCAAGCAAGCATAATATTCAAGTCTACAAGCAAGCAATCTTGGCACGTCATATAATTATATTAAACATTAATTAAACTTATCTTTTTTTGAGATGGGATGTCTTCCATCTTTTCAGTATTATAAGCATTCTACCCATTAGATGATGGATCTCTTCCCGATGGATCACCCATCCTGTAATGAATATAAGTCAAGCACGTTCCACAGAGTTCTTTAGTTATCTGATTGACATATTTTATTTAAAATCAATTGATAATAAGTAGGTAGACATTAATCATTTAATCACATCTCTTTTTGGTAAGCTACAACGTTGCGTCTCGAATCGAACATGGGCTGAACTCGACCACGCCTAATAATTTAGATTAATTTACTTTATTGTGGTTTTTTTTATCAACAAAGGTTTCAAAGCAAACTTCACCCAAAGTATATTTTTGAATAATGTTTACAAACTTTTTTGTAAATCAAGGTATTAGATCGAATAGAGTATTTTTTTTTTTTTTTTATCAATTCTTTAAATTAAAGCATATGTATACACACACCGCCAATCAATATAAAGATGAAAGACTAGGACGTGTAACGGGGTGCTAACACGCTTTATCTTAATCACGTCTTAATCTCCTTTCAAATATGTCACGCTTCAATTTACTTTAATTATTTTCATTAAACAATCCAAATAATTTCATTCTTGTCGTGTCTGAGGGATGCTCTCCTGCCCCACACCCCCACCTCCCACCTTCATTATTATCCTATCGTGCTTATTTGTATCTCACAAAATAAAATTAATCTAATTAATTAAGTTACATTCGATCCTCATTTCAAGGGACTCTTTTAACGGCAACATTTGATTTGTTATTGCAATTTGTAATTTATTCTTTATGATACAAAGATTGAATCTATATATTACGTAATATTTTAAATTCGATAATCACTCAACAAGTAAACATATCATTTTTGAGTTGAATTGTATGAATTTGTATTGTTTGATAACTGAATTGTAGTTTGATATGCAATTGAGTAACCTATTTGATTCCTTAATAATATATAGGTTGGGGATGATGAGCTATTGCAATAGTTGAAGAGAAAGATAGCTATAAAGAAGACTCCGGAATGAAGTTAGGCCTTTCGTTTCTTCACCAACATTATAATTATATTATATATCCAATTGAATTATTAGGTATAGTGGGAGACTTCAAATAATTGTCATTATTCACAAAGACAACAAGCATTATAATATCACAACATGTTGGACTGTGACTATATATATATGAATTCATATCTCATTTCTTTGTTGTGATCTATAACATGGACTCTGATTTGTTGCATTAATTAAGAACCTAATTCAATTCCATGTATGACGTATTGGAAACAATAATTGACCAATTCAATTATGCCATATGACATTTTAGCCGAGTTTATGTTTGTAATCTTTTTTCTATATTTTTGTCTTGTCATGTTAAATGGAATTGTTACTCTCCCTTTTGAAACAAACAATGTGATGTGAAAGACAAATAAAATGAGAAAGAAAAAAAAAATTAAGTTCTAGTGTTAAAACTTGATTTTTTTTTTTTTTGAATTCTGGAATTTGATTTAAAAAAAAAAAATTAAAAGAAGCATTGGTGCTTCATTTTCTCTCTCGGACAACTCGATCAAAAACTCAAAATTAGGTTAAACCAATAATTTTGCTCTTAGCTAGCTTGCAAGAATTTGGATTAATATCATTATATTGCTAACACAAATCAAAGATCGATTGACTTAATTTGTTACATGAGTAAATTAGAGCATATCTACCATGACTAAACTTCAGGGATGATGGAAGTTGGTAGCTACATGCCTACAAGGATATTCAGGACTTATTAGAAGACATTGAAACCCAATAAAAAAAAAAAAGTGTAATTAGCAACAATGGTGACCAAATCATATTTGGGATTTATGATGTAATTAGTCCATGATTAAGGTTAATTAGCATACAAAACGACAACCTATTGATGGTACAATGATTAAAACAAAATTAGTTGTACATAGCTTAGTGGAATATTTTTGGATGATATGATAATTGGGGTGTGGAAAGACAAATTTGGCAAAAGTCCTATTATTCCAGTTCATTAGTACAAAACTAATGACTGGCAAAAGTCCTATTATTCCAGTTCATTAGTACAAAACTAATGACAAGAGCCAACTACCATGTGTCAAATTTTATTGTGGACGATGGTGCATGTAGCAGTGTGGTTCATGAAGTAATTATCATTTTAATTACACTTCATTTTTATTTGATAATATTGTTCTGTTTTCAATTTTATTTTCACACAAACTAGTTTCATTATACCAACACTGGAGTATCATTTTAATTATACTACAATTTCATTTGACTACCATGGTCCACCTAGCACTGTAGACCATGATCCACTATATAACAATTAGGGGTGTAAATGAGCCGAGCCGCTTGCGAGCTGCTCGTGAGCGGCTCGGTCAAAGCTCGACTCGAGCTCGAGCGGCTCATTTACTTATCGAGCTTGAGCTCGAGCCGTGCTCACATATCCTATGCTCGTGGCTCGACGAGCCGCTCGCGAGCCTTATAATAATAATAATAATAATAATAATAATAATAATAATAATAATAATAATAATAATAATAATAATAATATTATTATTATTATTATTATTATTATTATTATTATTATTATTATTAAAAATTAATATTTTACTCCCTTACCCTACTCCAGTACTCTCGCAATCCCGCACACCCGCACCCATTCACCCCAAGCCCTAATTCTGGAGTCTGGAAGACTGTCGACGACGACGACACAGAGACGAGATACGGCAATATATACCTTTTTATTTTTAATTGAAACATGAATTTAAAATCAAACATGTCAAATTTGAGGTCAAAGTCGAGCTCGAACTCGAGCACAAAATCGAGCTCGAACTCGAGCATAAATTGTTGAGCTCGAGCTCGAACTCGAGTCGAGCCTTCCTTAACGAGCTCGAGCTCGAGCCGAGCCTTCCTTAACGAGCTCGAGCTCGAGATAACCCATGCTCGAGCTCAGCTCGACTCGTTTATACCCCTAATAACAATTGCTACCATGTAGTGTGATGATATCTCGATTAGCATTCTAAATAGGTGGGTATAGGTTCGAACCTCGGTGGTACGCGATTAACTGTTAGAGCAATCTCAATAGTTGTAGACACGCATCAATCTGCGCAAGTTTTTCCCTTTCCCCCAAAAGTGAACCCCACCCAAAAACCATATTTGCTGGAGAAAAATCTAGCCAAAACCCCCCATTCCCCATGAGCAAAAACCACTATTGTGGTTGCTCTAATAGCATATAAAATGTAATAAAGGAGAAGACACCCTACTGAATTAAATAAAAATATATTTACTCATCTTTATTTAGTGTTAATTTGCATTAGTAGTACCATCAAACCATTTTCCAATCTCAATCTCAATCAGTATAACCACAGTTAAAGGAGAACATTTCCAATCACCAGACAAAGATTGAAGTTTCCCTATAATCATGAATTCTCTTACTTTTCTTCATAATGTAGTCACAAGCCATTTTTTTAAGGACTGCCACAAAAGACAAGGGCACTTGTACCCCCCAAAAAGAATCAGATTATCCCTGCCTCCAAATTCTTGAATATACATCAAAGGATTCAAATGGGATTTGCATTTGCTTTCATCTTTTCAGAGTGGAAAGCTCACCAGAATGCCTGTCCTCAGGCAGACAAAGAATCCCACACAATATCTCTATCCCTGTTTTTATATGTAGTTTTTACAGTTGAGGCTGCCCTTTCTTCCCCACCATCTCTCTCCCAAAGTAAAAGTTGCTCCTACTTTTACAGTTCTTCTTCACTTTTTTTTTCCAGTTTCTTTTATTTTTACCTTCAGAGTTCAGACTCACATTTCAGTCTCTCCAGTCTCCACCTGCACTGAGAAATGGAGCATAAAATTACTGAGTACTGTAACTGACAATTGGTTTTTTTTGTTTTTTTTTTTTTGTTTTTTGTTTTTTTTTTTTAATCACTTGTAATTATTTGGGTTATCTCTAGTGTCCTTGGGTGCATTGGTAGGGGTATTAAGTTTTTTGAATTCTGGGACTACATTATCAGCAGCTTTCTCTTCTTTTAAACACAAGACCTTTCTTTTGACTATTCTTCTCTATTGGATACAAGGACTAGAGGTCACTCTATCTGACAAGCTGTTTTGCCTAATAATTTTGTTTTAAACCCTTAATAATAGCAGGTTTAATCATAGGATTAGGAGCCAACAAACTTCAATTATGGTCACTTAAACCTTATAAGAGAAGGTGACAAAGATGTAGCCAATTACCATATTGCTTTAAATTAACATATTAAAGTGCATAATCATGTTAGGGGTGGGTGGTGGGGTGGGGGAGGGGGGATTCTTATGTAGAAAGGATAACCTTAATTTTTGACTAATAAGTTGATACCTTGAGATTATTCACCTAAACAACAATCAAAATTCAACACTTAGGTGGCTACAAAGTTCATTATCTTGAAATTCTGGTCTTAAGGGACAACATCAAACTTTAACTCTTTTGGGTGAAACCCGCAGGCCTGTCCGAGGGTGTGCATTGAGTAAATCCTGCCTTGTGATCCTAACTGACAAAGGATCACAAGGAGGTAAATCAGTTTAGGTTGTCCATACTGGCTCAAACCAAGAAGGCCAATAGATCGCTCCCACTGGGAGTCAAACTTGAAATCTTGTGATTGCCAAACCAACTTAGCTGCAGTTGCCGCTAGCAAACTTTAACTTTGTTTGACTAGAATAGAGTCATAGGCTAGGACTTTTATCATGTTGTTTTGACAACCATAAAACAAAAAATAAAAACCAGTCAAAACTTAGAAAGAATACTCAACATCTCTAACACACCCTCCCTACTCCCTAGTCTAAAAGAGAAGTTGGCAAACCCAACCTATAGGAAAAAGTTAAAGAAAAAGGAAACTTGCCCCAACAGTCAACCACAACATGAGAAAAAAGAGTCACTTTCATTAATTTAATTTCTTTTCCAGACTACAGAAAGTCTCCAATCAGGCCATCACTGTGACCTTTTGGCCTTATGCCCCCATACACTGTCACTATTGCAACCAACCTTGGGTTATTTGAAAGGTGGAAACAAGAAGCCTTCATTATTAACATCTTGTGGCTATGATTCACAAATCCTAACATATTTCTGGGCTAATAGTTTTGCATTTACATGATTTTGTTCATGTTTGTAACATAATGGGACCTAGTTGATATCAGCATGCTTAGGTCACTGGTAAAGAAACCGTAAAGTAAAAAGGAGTGGGTGAAGCTTACCGTCTTTTTATATCTTTTAGTTTTTTTATTATTTGAGCGTTGTTTGGGAAGCGTTCGAGGAAGCTTGCTTGAACGCAACAGTGGGAGCTATACGGCAACTCCTCCTCTGATGCTCTTGCACAAGTTCTGCAGCAAACCAGTCGAGTTTCTCGGAATTGCTTTGCTCTCCAACCCTCTTGCCACCGAAAAGAACAGATTCCACGTTTTTCTGTTTCAGCATTTCGTCCGCTATCCCCACGAGCAATTTCACATTGTTAGGACTCGAATCAGCATCTGCACTCACCCCACAACGACCACCACTCGACCCACTAGCCTGTCATCAACAAAGATGCATCATTTTTCAAGATTACAGACTAAGAGCAACTTTAAGATGCATTGAGAACAAAGCAAATAGTTTCCTGATTGGGATATTATAATTGCAACCTGCAATCACTGAAGCTAAGGGAAAAATCATTCAAACTTGGAACTGTCCAAAATTCCTTATTACAGTACTAAATGATCATTTCTTTGACTTGCCTTATAGGGTCTACTCAAAATAAGAGAAAGAGAATTCCATAAAAAGCTCAGTTTCCACATTTCTATATCTTTTCCCCACAGTGAAAGGGGAAAAACAGAGAAAAAGATAGCCCTGGGAAAGAGTAAATGAGAACAAAGGATAAGGGAGTTAAGAGGTCCAATCAGTACTGCAATGTACAATTTTGCAATGAATGGACCATAATAGAACAGAAGAACAGTACCCACAGTTCATCAAACAGTTTTAGGTGAAACACCAGAATGGTAAAACAACATGGAATAACCCCCACCCACCCCCCTTCCAGCTCACCTCTCTGTGTCAAGGAACTGTTTGTCGGTAAACCCAATCTTTCATTTTCTATAATTTCCCCATCACCCATTGCTACTTATGGAGTTATGGAGCTTTTACATACTCTGTAGTAAAAGCCCATGGAGACAAACAATTGACAACTATCATCAGGTAACAATCTCGCTTCTATAGTTATATCCCCATTTATTCAATGACCAAACATCAGAAAATGGACTGTCGTTTCATTCCCATTAAGGGGCCACCGCACCTGCCCTAAAGCCTCGGTGAAAGAGGTAAATTGCCCGAACAGTCCATACAGGTTTCTCAAAGTGTTTGTATAACAACGAGGCTGAATCACACACTATATTAAAAGGAGTATTATTCTTTGAAAATGGCAATGGCACTTGTGCCTAAATCATTATTATAGTAATAATGCAACATAACCCGTACTTTGCAACCTTAAATTCTTAAACATGAAGTCTTGTAAAGTTGTAAAAATGATGACAAGCCAACAGACATGAATCTTTTATGGTGTCGTTTTCTATAATACAGGACAATTACTCAATAATAAGTCTTGATTAACTAAAGAAAAGAGTAAATCCTATAAAAAAAAAAAAAAACATGTTCCATGATCAAGAATTTGGCATTGAAATCCAAAATTTAGAGACAAACACAGAGCAAGAGGATTGTTGGTAATAGGAATGGCAAAAAGGACACCATAATTGAAGCATGTGCTCCATCTCAACTAAAAGCTTAAGCTGATAGTTGAATTGCACATTAATGGCTATATGCTCAACAACCATGAAACCTCTAACCACACACACAAAAGGCGAAATAGTGAGAGAGTAAATCACTATGACTTAATGAGATAACTTTCACGGTCCAAAAACCAACTGAACTGTCCGTGCGACCAGATACCAATTGTGGTGGTTTTCAGTTGGGAGAAATTAAATTGCATCCGCACAAAACACGGTGCGGCGCACGTTAGATTCGACCCATACCCAGACAGCCGGACACCCTTCCCCAGCCTGTCTGAGTGTCGACCCATGCAAATTGTGACCAAAACATCCCAAAACCATTTAATATATAATGCGAAGATTTTTGGAATTTAAAAAGAAATTGGGAAAATTAAGGATGACGGCGCACGTTAGAGGCGTATGTACCTGAATGCGCACGTAATTCGTGCTACGGGAATGGCCGAAAGCCATGGCGACGGCGTGGTCAACGAGCTCGGCGGAGCAGTCGCCGGAGATGCGGGCCATGGGGCGAGCCCAGTCCTTGGCTTTCCACCCTTTGACTTGCTCGAACTTGAAACTGCCTTCTAGAAGTTGACCGGTGCCGATTGAGAGGACCAGAATGTCTTCGACTCCCCTGACGAAAGGGAATTCCTGTTTGTTATGGAGGACGTGGGTAATCGCCGCCGCCGTCGGGTTGCACATGGCTAAACCGCCGTCTACCGCCACGCACCGGGTCGACCCGTCCACGGACCGCATGCAAACCGGGTCGAACACCCCCGGCTCCGCCGACGTGGCGCGGCAGACCTCCCAGAGGCGGAAGTCGAAGCTGTCGGTCTCGAGGGCGTCGGCTCGGGAGAACAGAAACGGCGCCGTACTGGAAAGGTCGTAACAGGGGATCAAAACCGGTTTTAACGTGTCCTTTAACGTTAAGTTCCGGCCGGTTTTCCCATCGGGAACCGCAAACGCCTCCCTCATTGCCTTCTCCAAACCGGCCGTGGCTGAACCGGGTCCGCCGCCGCTGAAAAGTCGCCTGAAAATCCCATTGGAACTAGAGCCTTTAGACGAATAAATTCTCCGCCCATTCTCCGCTAAAAACCTCCACGTATCATCGGCGTTGAAGAGCGGACGGTTTTGATCCTTAGTCCCGAAAAGCATCGCCGTGAAAATCCCGCCGACGCCGGAACCGGCGGCGACGTCGAAGTAATCGGCGATTCTAGCATCCGGATTCCCCGATTTCTCCTTCAACGCCTGTTCCAAATAACCTAGAGCTTTCCCGGAGAGGATGCTCCTCATTCCACCACCGTCAATGCTCAGAACGCAGATTTTCCCTCTCTGGTTTTTGATAGCTTGCACGCCGTCGTCCTCCCTATCCCCCGCCGGCGAAGTGGAAACCGCCTCGTTTCTGCCGAGCTCAACGGCGGGAGAGATGGTCTTAGGAATCCAAAGCTTCTGATCATCATAACCAAACAAAAACTTGCTCTCAAGAATGGAAAAGATCTCGTAGCTCAACTTATCCGTATCTATACTCGGCTCTTGCAAATCTCCTCCGGTTTGGACCACGTTTGAATGCGCAAACTCCATTCTTTCTCCAAACAATCACAAAATTCAAACCATAACCCAGTCAACACACAGCCTCTATACTCACCCAATAACTCGCCTGATTAGAACACCGCTATCTTGACACCATTTCTATCCACCTATACATATAGATACACGTCCGGCTGCGGAAACCCAGATAGAAAAAGCAATGATTGAAAGCTGAGTGTTGACGAAAGTTGGTAGTTTTTGTTGTGGGGGTGGGTTTCAGGTTGAGTTTTGGGGGGTGAGAAAGAAGGAAGAAGAAAACAGAGGATATGATGAGAGAGAAAGAAAACACATTTGCAGCCTGGGAGTATGTCTGTTCCGTTGGCTTTAAAAACCACGCAGCCATTTTTTGTACTCTTTCTGGTCAATTTCGCAATTTCGCTTCTTTCCGGGGACCAAAATGAAAAAACCCTACCGTAATTTCGCAATATCTCGTAAATCACGTCTAAAAAATAAATTTACTAGGAAGATCAAGGATTACTTTAATTAGAACTCACTTTTTTCTTTATTTTTTTAATCAAGATTTCATGTTGAAGTTTTATGATTAGATCAATAAATATAGTAAAAATCTTCATATAAAAGTTTAGTAATAAATATTATGGGGTATATTCTAAATTAATTAAAGTTTGGATTAAAATTCTAGTTGAAAATGGATTTTGGTCTAAATTAGAATGATTTTTGTGTAGATTGAATATCATGTTAATTATATGGAGCTATTCACATTTTTTGTTCTACTTCGAATAGGTTTCATACGTTACTTAATGATTTTGGTCTTACCTTTATTAACATCAAACACACACACCCAAATCATAATTTTAACTATGCTGACAAATAGGTGAGATTTTGTGAATTCAATAAATTAAAAATTAAAAATTAAAAAAAAAAAAAAAGGTGACATGTTTTTTGTGTGGAACTCAAATGTAAATGTTTTTTTTTTTAATAATGTTTTTAAAAATATAGCCACTAGGTGTCTCCCAATTCAGATAGCCATGGTTATATGTTGACAACCATGAGTATCGAAAAATGCATATAAACATAACGGTAAATTTCAATAAAGAAAGAATCATAATTGTTATGATCAAGATTCGAAACTACAAAATTGAATGTAGTTATAGCTGATTCATTAATTTATAGAACGAAGGTAGCCATGGATGTCAATGTCTACAGAGAAATATTATGGTTGTTAAGATCCAAACCCAGACCTTAAGTTCAATGACGATATAGGCCTTGTTTGGTAAAATGACTGTTAGCTGATTATGTTAATTAGAGGGTATAAATAGTTGATAGATTGTAGAAAAGTGTTTGGTATAATTCCTTTTCTCAAAAAGTTAATTGAAAAAGTTGTTTGGAGTAGCTTTATGAATTTTAGCATTTTGGAGTTGCAAAAGGTTAATTAACCAAACATTTATATTGATATTTTAACAAAATCAAACAATTAATAGTATAGTCAAATAAGTCAAAATTGGCCTACCATAGACTTTGCTATATGTTTCTAATGATTGCTACATCATTCTAGACTTTTCTTGGATTTTCACATAGCTTTCCCTGTTTTCCCTAGTTTATAGAATTTTCTAGAAGCATATTGATGGTTTTATTGGGACCGGGTCCACCATAAACCGAGTATAGGAAAGTACTGACTTTATTACCCGGGGCGCTAGGCCCAAAACAATGCGTACAAAGCCCGAGGTACAGGCCCAGAAGAAGGGCTATAGCTAACAATGTTGCTACTGAGAATCGAACCTGACTGGAATAATTGAGAGCTTGAGACTAAGACCACTGAACTAGTGTGTCCGTCGTGTCTGAGTTGCCCTTAGCCAAAGATCCAGGGCCCGTATTTATAGCAAGCCCCCCTCTTCCTCTAGCGTCCACGTGTCCCATGCAATCCATCCCCACTTCCCTATTTATCGCTACGCAAGCGGGCACGTTCGTCATACTTCCATGACTCTCGCGCATACCATCCCGGTCCATCATGCTCGGCGCACCCGCCCAGCACCCCCTCGGGAAGGGGGGGGGGGTGCCGTTGACAATCTGGGGGGCGCACTGCCCCGCTGGCCGCGCCTCGGCCTGAGGTTTCCGGCGGGACCCCCCGCCGGCCAGTCGCCGGCCGGCCAATGGCCGGTGGTGGAGGTTGCCCTGCCTGCAAATATCACTCATATATATTTGTCGCACCTTAGTACATAATGGTTGACGTGGGCTAATGGTTAGGCACGCGCCTATTATGCGGGAGGTTAGGGGTTCAAATCCCACTGGCAGCAGCAACGCCTTTCTTTGCTTTTCACCTACCCAAGGCCAGTGGTCTTCACTGGCCGCGGTGGTGGGGCGCTGCCGGCACGACCGGTGGCGCACCCCCCCCCCCCCGGCCGGCCGGTCCACCACCACCACCGACCTGTCGCCCGCGGTTTGTGTCCCGGAAATCTTTCTCTCTCCTCCGTTTTGGGCCACCACGCCCCTTTGTCTTCTTAGCCCAATAGGACTTGGACCAATCTCCTATCGCCCGCGGTTTGTGTCCCGGAAATCTTTCTCTCTCCTCCGTTTTGGGCCACCACGCCCCCTTGTCTTCTTAGCCCAATAGGACTTGGACCAATCTCCTATCATCACCACTTCCCCTTGGGTCAATACTGTGCCAATAAAATGGACCCCCAGGTCCCATATCCCCATCACAAGTCCCCCAGTTCTTTTAGGTATCTTGATGCCTAAAGGAAGTAGAATTCGGTATCACCACCTCCTTTTTTTCCCTTTCTCAACCTCTCGCGTCACCTTCCATTATCACCATTGTTGTGCGTCAAGCCATTACTCCGTACCTCTGCCACACACCGCACGTTGCCCTGGCCTTCGCTTCATCACCTAGTGTCGAGAGGTCAAGGTGACTCCTCTATTGTCACTTCTTGGATGCTTCTTGCGCTGTACATCTCTTTTGTTGCATTTATTTAGTATGCTTTTGTCGATTTCTCCATGATGCATCTGCATGCTTCTTTTGAATATTCAATGGATGTCTTTGCTCCTTCTCCATGCTACACCTGCATTCAACTTTGTTGCATTTATTTAGTATGTTTTGTCAATTTCTCCATGATGCACCTGCATGCTTCTTTTAAATATTCGATGGATGTCTTTGCTCCTTCTCCATGCTACACCTGCATGCAACCTTTTTTTTTTTTTTTTTTTTTTTTTTTTTTTTTTTTTTAAGGATGAAGGTAACTGAAGATTGTAGGATGGGGTAGTGTGGGTTGCGATAACCCACACGCCCCCTCCGCCAACGCCATGCGGCTTGCCGGGGGCAAGTCCGCGCATGTGGGTTGCGATAACCCACATGCCCCATCCGCCAAAACCATGCGGCTTGCCGAGGGCAAGTCCGCGCATGTAGGTTGCGATAACCCACACGCCCCATCCGCCAAAAACCATGCGGCTTAACGGGGGCAAGTCCGCGCATGTGGGTTGCGATAACCCACATGCCCCATCCGCCAAAACTATGCGGCTTGCCGGGGGCAAGTCCGCGCATGTGGGTTGCGATAACCCAAACGCCCCATCCGCCAAAACCATGCGGCTTGCCGAGGGCAAGTCCGCGCATGTGGGTTGCGATAACCCACACGCCCCATCCGCCAAAAACCATGCGGCTTACCGGGGGCAAGTCCGCGCATGTGGGTTGCGATAACCCACATGCCCCATCCGCCAAAACCATGCGGCTTGCCGGGGGCAAGTCCGCGCATGTGGGTTGCGATAACCCACATGCCCCATCCGCCATGGCCATAGAGCCAGCATGCATAGCACGTAAGAGCACATAGGAGCACATAGTTGAGGTGGCCGTGGGCAAAGCATGCAGAGCACATAGGAGCACATGGTTGAGGTGGCCGTGGGCCAAGCATGCAGAGCACATAGGAGCACATGGTTGAGGTGGCCGTGGGCCAAGCATGCAGAGCACATAGGAGCACATAGTTGAGGTGGCCGCGGACCAAGCATGCAGAGCACATACGAGCATATAGTTGAGGTGGCCGCGGGCCAAGCATGCAGAGCACATATGAGCATGTAGTTGAGGTGGCTGTGGGCCAAGCATGCAGAGCACATAGGGGCACATAGTTCGGGAAAATAAACACAATCTTTACCTAACTAAGTGTTCAATTGTACTCACTAGAGTAGCGTCTCGATGTGCTAAGTGTGTTACCTTATAGGGTAGCTCCTCTTGCGAATCAACCATTTGGGCGTACCTCGAAACCTTGCTAGGATGGTAGAGACTACAAACTCGGGCTAATCGTAGCGATCCACACAGACGGTGCCAATGATGGTTTTATTGGGATCGGGTCCACCATAAACCGGGTATAGGAACATAGGACGGGGGTAGGAAAGTACTGACTTTATTACCCGGGGCGCTAGGCCCAAAACAATGCGTACAAAGCCCGAGGTACAGGCCCAGAAGAAGGGCTATAGCTAACAATGTTGCTACTGAGAATCGAACCTGACTGGAATAATTGAGAGCTTGAGACTAAGACCACTGAACTAGTGTGCCCGTCGTGTCTGAGTTGCCCTTAGCCAAAGATCCAGGGCCCCTATTTATAGCAAGCCTCCCTCCTCCTCTAGCGTCCACGTGTCCCATGCAATCCATCCCCACTTCCCCATTTATCGCTACGCAAGCGGGCACGTTCGTCATACTTCCATGACTCTCGCGCATACCATCCCGGTCCATCATGCTCGGCGCACCCGCCCAGCACCCCCTCGGGAAAGGGGGGGGGGGGTGCCGTTGACAATCTGGGGGGTGCACTGCCCCCATCTGGCCGCGCCTCGGCCTGAGGTCTCCGGCGGGACCCCCCGCCGGCCAGTCGCCGGTCGGCCATGGCCGGTGGTGGAGGTTGCCCTGCCCGCAAATATCGCTCATATATATTTGTCACACCTTAATATATAATGGTTGGCGTGGGCTGATGGTTAGGCATGCGCTTATTATGCAGGAGGTCAGGGGTTCAAATCCCATTGGCAGCAGCAGCACCTTTTTTTGCCTTTTACCTACCCAAGGCCAGTGGCCTTCACTGGCCGCGGTGGTGGGGCGTTGCCGGCACGACCGGTGGCGCACCCCCCCCCGGCCACGCCTCGCCGCCGGGAGTCTGGTGGGCCATCCCGCCGGTCCACCACCGACCGGCCGCCCGCGGTTTGTGCCCCGGAAATCTTTCTCTCTCCTCCGTTTTGGGCCACCACGCCCCCTTGTCTTCTTAGCCCAATAGGACTTGGACCAATCTCCTATCATCACCACTTCCCCTTGGGTCAATATGCCAATAAAATGGACCCCCAGGTCCCATATCCCCATCACATATATATGACAATTGTATAG